TTTTTATTTACATCAAAATCTGTCCAATAAACTGTTCATTGCCAAGGATGAAGGCATGAGGTGTTTTACCAACTATTTAATTTTATGTCAACTTCAGAATTGTTAGTACACAAATAGCATTTATTTGACAATTTTGACGAATTTCATCTGGCCCTAAATCAATAAATTGCAAACATTTTGCTTGGAACTCCCAGATTTTGTCTTCCTGGCATCATAAGCTTTCCAAAAATGTATAGTTTTTCTTTTATGGAAGACCGTGTAGCGGAGTTGTGTTTCTAAGCTAGCTAGAAATTTTGGCTGCAGGCCTACACCTCCCAAGCTAAATTTCCCTCATGTCATCCTGTATAGCAAAGGCATATGCCTGTCTTAATTAACCCAGTACTAAACACAATTTACTTGTTTAATTTTTCCAGCATTTTTCAGGATAGCTGATGGGATGCGGGTCAAGTTATGCCACTTGTCTATTTAATTATTTACCAGTGAAAAATCGAATTAACTTCACCAAATTTTTACTCATTATAATGATTTTTTTTTTTCTGTTCATATTATTTCTATGACATGTGACAGTGACTGTGAATATGAAAGCTTTAATATCTGCTTAGCAGATCTAGTTATTATTATTATTATTATTATTATTATTTACCGCGGGAGCCTAGATCTCCATGATCGAAAACAGATATCGATCTGGAATTAGATTTTCTATATGGAAACCATGTGGTGGCTACTTGATAAAATATTTTTGAAATTTCTGCGCATACCGGAAGTGACCGAACTTTGTACGTTGTCTAAAAATTGAAAATTGGCCATAGTTTCGTCAATTCTTTATCCATTTTCAAGCAAATTACATTTTTGGAATCCCTAAATCTTTTCTGAGACAATGGCTATCTCACATTTTTCAATTTCGAACATTCGTCTATGACTTTTATCGTTGAGAACATGTTGTTTACAAGACAATTTTTGTTATTTTTCAAAATTTTCAAATTTGTCTTACATTTTTGGATACCTGAAGTCCATCCGATTCCAGTAATATAAGTTTTATTCAGAGTTATCGCCCTTTATTTTTCGAATTTTCTTCCCATTTTGTGAGCTCGGGTTTCGTTTTATGGCAGAATTGACGTTTCTGAAACTTCTGGAACATGAAGTTATAGTCCAATACCAACTTATAAAGCAATTTCGACAAGAATCCTTAAACCGGAAGTAGTCGAAATAATATGCGATATTTTGAAAAAAAACGTGAAAAATTGGTGTTTTGGGTAAAAACACGATTTCTCCGTCCGATATCAACGGATTAAACAAATTAAGGTATCATTTGGTCGGGCGGTGATTGGACCACTGAATGATACCCAATTCCTGCGGATACTATGATCAGGCAGCAAAATATGGCACGCTGAAAATCAAGTATTTTCTGATTTTTAGCATTTTTGGACGCCTGTATCTCAAAAACTACGCCAGCGATTTTTATGAAACTTTCTCTATCGAGAGACCTTGTGATAGTCTTGTGTACGAAGCATTCCATTACGACTTTGAAATATCTGGAATAGGTGAAATAACGGACTGAAAATCGAAAAAAGTCGAAAAGTCGTGAAATTTTGGAAAATGCTCTACTTTTTTTTTATTTTAAGAGATTTTCAAAAAAAGGTTGTATATTCTTATAGCTGACCTAATTATGATTCTAACGATGTATAATATGTATGTAGTTATTGAAATTTAATTTTCGATATTTTAATTTTTTTGCATTGTTGGCACTTTTGAACATAGGATTTCTCAGGGGCATTTTATCTGATCAGATAATGTAATATATCATTACAGAGCCCTGTGGCTATTTTAGTGCCCAAACCGGCTATTAAAACTATTCCGACAATAATAACCATACCGGAAGTATTCAAAAAATGAAAAAAAAAGGTTAAAAACATTGTCGCACTTGCGAAAAAATTTATTTCTCCCTTAGGTAATAGCGGACCAAAAGAACTAAAGTGTCGTTGGATAGCCCTATTAATGGACCATCATATGGTATCTAAATAATACGATTTTGATGGTAAGGAAATAAATTATTGTATGAAGAAAAATCTAGTATTTTCCGATTTTTTAACATTCTGAGACGCCATTTTCTCGAAAACGACGCCTACGATTTTTCTTAAACTTTTCTTACTCAAAGTCCTATCGGTTGTCTATATAGTGAATCCAAAATGAAAAGCATTGAAATAATATAGGTGGTCCAAAAATGGCCTCAAACTTTGAAAAAAATTGAAACGCTCTTTGATTTATCTTTTTTTCCAAAACTACTCATAAAGCTATCACGACAATGATCGTAAAACCGGAAGTAGTCGAAAAAATGTCCGATATTTTGAAAAAAAAATTTTTTATACGAAAACCTTTTTAATTTTTTTTTACGAAAATCTTTTTTATTTATGAATATTTTTTGATGGTATTTTACACAGGGTTAAAATATCATCCTACTTGAGCAGAAATGAGAAAAAAAAATATCTCGGTAATTTGCGTTAGCCGCCATCGGCTAATTTAGTTTTTCGTACCCAGAAAAATTATTTATTGTTCGATTTGTATAAAGCAAAGTTCATATGCTTCGGGGTCCCAATTGTAAATTTTTTTGTTACGGTGAAATTTTTCTGTCGGCAACGGAAGTGACGTAATATTAACTCTAACACCTCTGTTACAGGAAGTTAAGTATCTATTGGACTATCTTATGATACCAAATTCATATGGATACTACGAAAAAGCAGCAAAATATGGTACGCTGAAAGTCAAGTATTGTCTGATTTTGAGCGTTTTTGGACGCCCATATCTTGAAAACTACTCAAGCGATTTTTCTGAAACATTCTCTAGCGAGAGTCCTCTCGGTAGTCTCGTGTACGATACATTCCATTTTAAAGACTTTGAAATATCTTGAATAGGTCAAATAACGGGCTGAATATCGAAAAAAGTCGTAAAATCGTGAAATTTTGGAAAATGCTCTATTATTTTCTTATTTTATGAGATAACGATTATGTATTGAGTTATTGAAATATTTCTGAAACTTTCTCTATCGAGATACCCTTTGGTAGTCTTGTGTACGAAACATTCCTTTAAGACTTTGATATATCTGGAATAGGTCAAATAACGACCTGAAAACCGAAAAAAGTCGCAAAATCGTGTAATTTTGGAAAATGCTCTTTTTTTTTATTTTAAGAGATTATCAAAAAAAAGTTACATATTCAGATAGCTGATGTAATTACGATTTTAACGATGTATAATATGTATTGAGTTATTGAAATTTGATTTTCGATATTTTGACATTTTTGGCACCTTTGAACATAGTATTTCTCAGGTGCATTTTTGTCTGATCAGATAATGTAATAAACCATAACAGGGCCCTACGGTTATTTAACTGCCCAAACCGGTTATTAAAACTACCACGACAGTAATCTCCACAGATATTAGCGGACCAAAGTGTCGTTGGATAGCTCCATGGATAAGCCAATGAAATGATTCGTTGCAACGAGTGAGTATTCCACTAGAAACATCAACGCTATCTGGTTAATAAACGTCCGACGTTATACGAAACGATATATAGATCTGTATGTAATGTGATTGCTGTGTGGGATTAGGGGATTGTGCCTGAACCATGGTGTTCTTTGTATGTTGTCAAGTCCTCCATTCTACACCACTGTGGAGGGTGATCTGCTAAAACAATACTGTTGAAATATGCAATCGAACACAGGACCACTCCAATGTATGCGTGGGACCTTGGTTTTATTTCCCATTCAAATCAGGGCCGGTAGAAGTTCTTCTCGATTTGGGAGAGGCTTCCATCCTAGGTCCTTATAGGCGAGGGTCCAGGGGCCGCAATAACCTGGAGAAAAAGAGTACTTGCTGCAAAATAATTGTTGGGCGGTGACCCCCCCCCCCCCCCGTCGGGCCTGTAAATGACTGTTCCGTGCTAGACCCTATTAATTATAACAATGCACTTTCTTAGCCAATACCATGATCAATGACAGGACCGCTAGGTCAGCCAGTCAACGCCTTACTCACCGAGCCACAACGATTTGTAAGGATTCTATTTTTTGTTCCAGTTGTGGAGTTATCTGTCCGTGCACAGGATGATATGACTGTGCATCCGAATATATTATGACCGAGGGTCAAATGATGTATGCATAGATCAATTTTATGGGGGGAATTTGGTCCAACGGCTTCACTATGACATACATTTAATTCTAATTCTGAATGTTAGGAGTCTGTAGTTGCCTACTATGACAAATCAAGTAATTATATGATGCCCCAATCAAAAGGAACAACTCTGTAAACCAAAAGTACAACGTACTATGAGAGAAACCTTGCCCAGATAGTGGTTCTACAGTCTACTGTTATTTTAAATTCCAACTTCACAGGGATCTTATCATGCATGGCAATTATGGGAGAGAACGAAATGGGGTTTAGCGTCCACTCGACACAAACTAGGTCATTTCGGGACTAACATATGTTTTTAACTTTATTTCAATAATTCGCTTGTGCGTAGGGGTCTTTAGCAGTGGGAGGAAAACGGAGTGCCCAGAGGAAACTCACGAGGTTGAGAAGGCGCCCGATCTCCATGCCACATATGCTCACACCTGGGATCGAAACCACAGCCGCAAGCCAGAGGTGACCGGCCAGCTAGAGGTCGAAACGCGGCAGTCTACAGTGATTACAGTGATTACTGATGAACTTTCTCGGCTTACAGAGAATTGAACACAGGAACTCAAGTTCAGACAGGCAATGTCTTACCCACTGAGTATTGAGGATTTGGTTCGAGTTAGTGGCTTATCCATGTCTGAACAGTGAACACCTATATGTTGTTCCTTGTCAGGCTTTCCATTCTGCCCCACTGACAAGGGAGGAACCATTATGGAAAATCCAAAATAGCTTTCTTGGCAACACCAGCCTTGAACATTGGACCTGTAGGTTAGATAGCTACCAGAAGAGGAATCATAAGGACAGCCAACTTTAATTTTTCCAAACACAGATTAGAAGTCAGATTTTGCATTCTTAATTTATTTTAGATACAATAAGGAACCAGAATAAAGTTGAAGGAAAAACATTAAGATTTCAGCAAGATTCTTTAAAATTGGAAATAAGACATCTTTCCTTGAAAACCTGAAATACAAAATAGTATAAAAACTTTAACTCACTGAGATGCTACGAAAATTCACCTTTTATAAGTGATGACAGTACATGTACATGTATGAGAGTTACAGTTTTATTTACAATCCTAAATTTAACATCAACACATGTTTGCACTTACATATGAATGCACCAAAGATCAATTCCACAGACAACACCAAGTAGGCACTATTGCTTTAGTTTTATAGGGTTTGGACGCTACTGCACTTAGTTTACATATCATTGAGACTTACCATAGTGTTGATCTGCCCATCACCAAAAACAAAATAATAATCTAGTTTGAAAAAGTACAGGAGCTCCAATAACAGTCAATAATAAATGCTAAAAATAATTAAAAAATACAAAATTATAATTTTGTAAATCAAATGATATATGAAATGGAATATCAATGAGGTTTTAATGTCCTACTGCTGCTTATAAAAACAGCCATGCACCATGCAGTAGTTTTTGGCATGGAATATGGTCAACTGCTATTTTGCTTTCTCACTTTCAAGGTTTTGCTATGAATCTATGAGGTAAATTTTCTGTAGTCTTATTTGTTTTTCTAATTGTTCTTTTTTAATGCTCTCAACTTGTGCATGAGACCTTGGTTTTCACTCCAATGCAAAGCTATAGTCACTGTTCTGTTCTTTCTGGCTGAACCATTAATATTGCACAGGGACAGGATGTAAGTGAATAAGTGACAACACCAAGTAGGCGCTATTGCTTTAGTTTTATAGGGTTTGGACGCTACTGCACTTAGTTTACATATCATTGAGACTTACCACAGTGTTGATCTGCCCATCACCAAAAGCAAAATAATAATCCAGTTTGGTACAAGTACAGGCGCTCCAATAAAATTCAATAATAAATGCTAAAAAAAATTAAAAAATACAAAATTATAATTTTGTAAATCAAATGATATATGAAATGGAATATCAATGAGCTTTTAATGTCCTACTGCTGCTTATAAAAACAGCCCTGCACCATGCAGTAGTTTTTGGCATGGAATATGGCCAACTGCTATTTTGCTTTCTCACTTTCAAGGTTTTGCTATGAATCTATGAGGTAAATTTTCTGTAGTCTTATTTGTTTTTCTAACTGTTCTTTTTTAATGCTCTCAACTTGTGCATGAGACCTTGGTTTTCACTCCAATGCAAAGCTATAGTCACTGTTCTGTTCTTTCTGGCTGAACCATTAATATTGCACAGGGACAGGATGTAAGTGAATAAGTGACAACACCAAGTAGGCGCTATTGCTTTAGTTATATAGGGTTTGGACGCTACTGCACTTAGTTTACATATCATTGAGACTTACCACAGTGTTGATCTGCCCATCACCACCAAAAGCAAAATAATAATCCAGTTTGGTACAAGTACAGGCGCTCCAATAACATTCAATAATAAATGCTAAAAAATTTAAAAAATACAAAATTATAATTTTGTAAATCAAATGATATATGAAATGGAATATCAATGAGGTTTTAATGTCCTACTGCTGCTTATAAAAACAGCAATGCACCATGCAGTAGTTTTTGGCATGGAATATGGCCAACTGCTATTTTGCTTTCTCACTTTCAAGGTTTTCCTATAAATCTATGAGGGAAATTTTCTGTTCTCTTATTTGTTTTTCTAACTGTTCTTTTTTAATGCTCTCAACTTGTGCATGAGACCTTGGTTTTCACTCCAATGCAAAGCAATAGTCACTGCTCTGTTCTTTCTGGCTGAACGATTGTGGCTTCCAATGAAATGAAATTGTACGCTTACGTTTTCTACACCTACTGGGCTAATGAAGACGGCAATACACCATACAGTGTGCATTGAGGGAAATCTTAGCTGGCAGTGCCACTATTGGCTACTCTTAAATTGAATACTAACTGCCAAGGGAACTTTTCTGGGCACGCCAACGTATACATGGGTCCACGCTCCACGGCTTGTGTTCCATCGGCACGACTAGACAGGTGTCCTTGTGAGGCCAAAGCAGGGAGCAGGAAATCTTAGCTGGCAGTGCCACTATTGCCTACTCTTACACTGAATACTAACTGCCATGGGATCTTTTCTGGGCACGCCAACGTATACAATACATTGGTCCACGCTCCATGGCTTTGTGTCCCAAAGGCATGACTAGACAGGTGTCCTTGTGAGGCCAAAGCAGAGAGCAAATATGCTACCTTGAGGCTCATGAGCAAGTATCTCAGACACCATGGCTACCTAGTTACTATACTTGCAACCTTAAACTGTGTTAAGGTTACAATTGAGACAGCCTAAGAACCATTACGCAAGTTCAAATAGGTTCAAACCTACAATTGTCAACACATATCATTACAGTTTGCATTGGAATAAGTAATTCTATCACAAATGGTGAGGACTGGACCATTAAAATAGTTACCAAACAATTATGTTGTAGGCCTAATGACGTATTACGCAACTTGCCGCCATGACACTGGCCAGTTAAAATTTGCGTAGCAGTTGGATTTCATCAAATCATAATTATGCGGTAAGGCTTCATCTTTATTTCAATGGGACTAGATTTATTATATGTTAAGCTATGTGAAGTACAGATTTGGGTTAGTTTATGTGTAAATTAAGGGAGCTATCGGCCAGTAAACTTTTTGTAGTCATTTGCTACAAAACTTGCGCAAAGGAACTGTAGGAAAAGCCACTACTGTGCCTGGAGTAAAACAGATAACATCAGTAGTAGAACAATTTCTACGTGGTTACCTATCTTAATGTAAAACTCAAGACTTCCGTTTACTCTTATATTATATTTACCATTTTAATATTGAATGCATTGAAATGTCTAACCCCATATATCCAGGGTAAGGAGTATATGTTTAATATTTCATTATATCATAATTTATACAGTCATATATAATTGAAATTATAAGAGTACTGCTTACCTTGGGTATTAATCTGATGATCAAACTTTATATCTTAAGAAAGATTAAGGCCAAAGAATAAATCTAATATATATTTTTCCATGATCTGTAATAAACAACTCTCTTAATCAAATATACTTTAATAGTGTAAAAATCTAAAAATGAAATTTCTCCAAAAAGATGCCATTGCTTTAGTTCAAGAGGGTAGGAGTACCAGGGTCTTGATCTGAATATTTGGATGACATTACACTCAGTTTACATAATGGTGTAGATCATGTTCACCATAAGGCATCTTAAATAGTACCGGGAATTCCCGTATTTAAGCCTTCCCGTTATAAAGACGATAGATGGATCTTTCTGAAACTTCTGGTTCAGGAAGTTAAGTTCCCATACCACTTGTTAAATCTATCCCGATAATGATCCGTAAACAGGAAGTAGTCAAAAAAATATTCGATATTTAAAAAAAAAGGACAGCAAAAAAATCGGTGCTCTTGCACCAATCGGGATTTCACCGTCGGGTGTGACCGGATCAAAACATCTAAAGTATCGTTTGGTAGCTCGATAAATGGGCTATTGTATGACACACTTCCTGCCTGATTCCTGAAAGCCGGTTCAGTGCTGCTTGCAGGTCTAGTTATTATTATTATTATTATTATTATTATTATTTACCGCGGGAGCCTATTTCTCCATGATCGAAAACAGATATCGATCTAGGGTTCAATTTTCTCTTGGAAAACCATGTGGTGGTTACTCGATAAAGTACTTTTGAAACTTCTGCGCAGACCGGAAGTGGCCGAATTTTGAACGGTAGCAATAAATCAAAAATCGGCCGTGGTTTCGCAAAGTCTTTACCTACTTTAAAACAATTCACATTTTTGGAAACCCTGAATCTTTTCCGAGACAATGGCTATCTCACATTTTTCAATTTCGAACATTCATTTATGGCTTTTGTCGTTCGAAATTTGAAAATTTAAATTTTTACAAAAAACTTTTTTATTAATGAATATTTTTTAGTCGTGTTTTACACAAAATTAACGAGTCATCTGACTTGGGCAAAAATGTGATTTTTTTTTGTCTCAGTAATTTTCCTTGGCCGCCATTGGCTAATTCAGTTTTTCAGTCCTAGATTAATTATTTATTGCTCGATTTGTATAAAACAAAGTTCACATACTCCATTGTCTCAATTGTCATTTTTTTGTTACCAATAGAGTTATCTGCCCGCACCGGAAGTGGCTTAATTTTACCAAAAACTACAATTTTGACAGTTAGGTACCATTTTCCGAAAGCAAATATTATTTTTTTAAAAAAACTGATATAACTAAAAGAGTGTGCCCTTTAAAGGCGCACAAAATGTTGGGAACAGTTTTTTTAATTTCAATTTCATTTTCGAGCAAATTCGATTAAGAGGTGAAAAAAGGTGTAAAATTGACCTATTTACAACTCATTCAGGCTTTTCAGATTTTCAGATATTTCTACGTAACTTTTATAAACTTGTAGCTATAATCTATACGAAGAAAATGTATGTTAAAATTAGTTTGTAATATAAGCAGTTACCTAGAAATGGGCAATTTTGCATAAGTCACTATTTTCGTTATTTTGCCTGTAAAATAGTCAATTATTATTGGATTTTCACAAAAGTGACACCATTTGATTCAAAAAGCAAGTATGCGTCGTATCAAATTGATTACAATTTTAAATTGACACCGGCAGTGACGACATTTTGTCAAAAAGTGCATTTTTAACTTTTAAAATCAATATTTATTTCAAACAAGAATTATTTAATATGTATTAATAATTTTAATTTTTTGTTTACATTCACATATTAATATAATCCATAAGGTCATATAGATTTCACAAAATTGTTTCTAACTTGTTCAGTTGCGGAGAAATAGGCGATTTTCAACAGGTCACTTTTCAAGGTTTTTGGTCCATAAAAGTGTCAATTATTATTCGATTTTCATAAAATTTTCACTGTGTGATACCTAATGCCATTTACAATGTCATACAAGTAGTTTAAGATTTTCATTATCACCGGAAGTAACGTCATTTTGGCAAAAACTGTATTTTTAGCCTTCAAAACAGATATTTTATTCAAATGACTCTAATTTGTAATGTTTTTAAAATTATGATATTTGATGCCAATCAACAAATAGATTAAACCCATACGATCATACAGATACCAGAAAATGGTTTCTAACTTGTACAGTTGCAGAGAAATAGACGGTTTTATACAAGTCACTTTTCAAGGTTTTTGGTCTATAAAAGTGGCAATTATTATTCGATTTACATAAAATTTTCACCATGTGATGCCTTATGCCATTTCTGATTTTATAAAACTAATTGAACACTTTCATTATAACGGAAGTACTGTACACTTATATGTAACAAATGTATAAAATGAATTGATATTGCTGGATTTGGTTGATTCGACGTCCATTTTATTTGATGTGTGCAATGCTTATGTGGAAACCTGTTTAATGGTTTCATTGGTACCGGAAGTGACATGTTTAGGGTAACGTGGCACCGGTGAAACCCGTCATTACTGCATCGCAGTTCTAGTTCTAATTTATTTTTGATTAGATCTGAGCAACTGCTTGTCGGATCGTTACGATTTCTTCGGTTTTACTGGAAAAGTGGGTGTGACTTAGAGGATAAAGCTATTTTGAACGTTCTGCGACAATGCGAAATGTCCGAAATCACCGGAGCTATCGTTTTTAGAAATATTGCAGTAATTTTAACAATAATCATTGGATTTTAACTTTCGATACATTTAGGCCTAGCCGGAGACAGGGCACATAGCTACGCTACTTTTGATTTTTGATTTTCGGCAAATCTTCGCAGATATTAGGCGCCAAATTTCGAAAATTTAAATTTTTACAAAAAACTTTTTTATTTATGAATATTTTTTAGTCGTGTTTTACACAAAATTAACGAGTCATCTGACTTGAACAAAAATCTGATTTTTTTTTGTCTCAGTAATTTTCCTTGGCAGCCATTGGCTAATTCAGCTTTTCAGTCCCAGATTAATTATTTATTGTTCGATTTGTATAAAACAAAGTTCATATGCTCCGATGTCTCAATTGCCATTTTTTTTGTTACCGATAGAGTTATTGGTCGGCACCGGAAGTGGCGTAATTTTACCAAAAACTACAATTTTGACAGTTAGGTACCACTTTTCGAAAGCAAATATTATTTTTTTCAAATCTGGTATAACTGAAAGTGTGCGCCCTTTAAAGGCGCACAAAATGTTGGGCCCAGTTTTTTTAATTTCGATTCCGTTTTCGGGCTATTTCGATTAAAAGGTGAAAAAAGGTGTAAAATTAAGCTATTTACAACCCATCCAGCGTTTTCATATTTTAAAATATTACTTCGTAACTTTCATAAACTCGTAGCAATAATCTATACGGAGAGAATGTATGTGAAAATTAATTTGTAATATGCGCAGTTGCCGAGAAATGGTCAATTTTGCACGAGTCACTCTTTACGCTATTGTGCCTGTAAAAGAGTCAATTATTATTGGATTTTCATAAAAGTGACACCATTTGATGCATAATGTCAATTGTGACTAGTTCAACTCAATTTAACATTTTCAATGTCACCGGAAATGACGAAATTTTGGCAAAAACTGTAATTATAGCCTTCGAAACAAATAATTTATTCAAATGAGTCGTATTTAGTGTTTGTTTAAGATTTTGATATTTGATTCTAATCAAATAAAAGAATGAACCCATACGATCATATAGATATCACAAAATGGTTTCTAACTTGTTCAGTTGCGGAGAAATAGGCAATTTTCAACAGGTCACTTTTCAAGGTTTTTTGTCCACAAAAGTGTCAATTATTATTCGATTTTCATGAAATTTTCACTGTGTGATACCTAATGCCATTTACGATTTCATACAAATAATTTAAGATTTTCATTATCACCGGAAGTAACGTCATTTTGGCAAAAACTGTATTTTTAGCCTTCAAAACAGATATTTTATTCAAATGAGTCTGATTTGTAATGTTTTTAAAATTATATCTGATTCCAATCAGCTAATAGATTGAACCCATACGATCATACAGATACCAGAAAATGGTTTCTAACTTGTACGGTTGCAAAGGAATAGACGATTTTCTACAAGTCACTTTTCAAGGTTTTTGGTCTATAAAAGTGGCAATTATTATTCGATTTACATAAAATTTTCACCATGTGATGCCTTATGCCATTTCTGATTTTATAAAACTAATTGAACACTTTCATTATAACGGAATTACTGTACACTTACATGTAACAAATATATAAAATGAATTGATATTGCTGGATTTGGTTGATTCGGCGTCCATTTTATTTGATGTGTGCAATGCTTATGTGGAAACCTGTTTAATGGTTTCATTGGTACCGGAAGTGACATGTTTAGGGTAACGTGGCACCGGTGAAACCCGTCATTACTGCATCGCAGTTCTAGTTCCAATTTATTTTTGATTAGATCTGAGCAACTGCTTGTCGGATCGTTACGATTTCTTCGGTTTTACTGGAAAAGTGGGTGTGACTTAGAGGATAAAGCTATTTTGAACGTTCTGCGACAATGCGAAATGTCCGAAATCACCGGAGCTATCGTTTTTAGAAATATTGCAGTAATTTTAACAATAATCATTGGATTTTAACTTTCGATACATTTTGGCATAGCCGGAGACAGGGCAAATAGCTACGCTACTTTTGATTTTTGATTTTCGGCAAATCTTCGCAGATATTAGGCGCCAAATTTCGAAAATTTAAATTTTTACAAAAAACTTTTTTATTTATGAATATTTTTTAGTCGTGTTTTACACAAAATTAACGAGTCATCTGACTTGAGCAAAAATCTGATTTTTTTTTTTTCTCCGTAATTTTCCTTGGCAGCCATTGGCTAATTCAGTTTTTCAGTCCCAGATTAATTATTTATTGTTCGATTTATATAAAACAAAGTTCATATGCTCCGATGTCTCAATTGCCATTTTGTTTGTTACCGATAGAGTTATCGGTCGGCACCGGAAGTGGCGTAATTTGACCAAAAACTACAATTTTGACAGTTATGTACCACTTTTCGAAAGCAAATATTATTTTTCTTAAATTTGGTATAACTGAAAGGGTGCGCCCTTTAAAGGCGCACAAAATGTTGGGCCCAGTTTTTTTAATTTCGATTCCGTTTTCGGGCTATATCGATTAAAAGGTGAAAAAAGGTGAAAAATTAAGCTATTTACAACCCATCCAGCATTTTCATATTTTAAAATATTACTTCGTAACTTTCATAAACTCGTAGCAATAATCTATACGGAGAGAATGTATGTGAAAATTAATTTGTAATATGCGCAGTTGCCGAGAAATGGTCAATTTTGCATAAGTCACTCTTTACGCTATTGTGCCTGTAAAAGAGTAAATTATTATTACATTTTCATAAAAATGACACCATTTGATGCATAATGTCAATTGTGACTAGTTCAACTCAATTTAACATTTTCAATGTCACCAGAAATGACGAAATTTGGGCAAAAACTGTATTTATAGCCTTAGAAACAAATAATTCATTCAAATGAGTCGTATTTAGTGTTTGTTTAAGATTTTGATATTTGATTCTAATCAACTAAAAGAATGAGCCCATACGATCATATAGATATCACAAAATGGTTTCTAACTTGTTCAGTTGCGGAGAAATAGGCAATTTTCAACAGGTCACTTTTCAAGGTTTTTTGTCCACAAAAGTGTCAATTATTATTCGATTTTCATGAAATTTTCACTGTGTGATACCTAATGCCATTTACGATTTTCATTATCACCGGAAGTAACGTCATTTTGGCAAAAACTGTATTTTTAGCCTTCAAAACAGATAGTTTATTCAAATGAGTCTGATTTGTAATGTTTTTAAAATTATATCTGATTCCAATCAGCTAATAGATTGAACCCATACGATCATACAGATACCAGAAAATGGTTTCTAACTTGTACGGTTGCAGAGGAATAGACGATTTTCTACAAGTCACTTTTCAAGGTTTTTGGTCTATAAAAGTGGCAATTATTATTCGATTTACATAAAATTTTCACCATGTGATGCCTTATGCCATTTTTGATTTCATAAAACTAATTGAACACTTTCATTATCACCGGAAGTACTGTACACTTATATGTAACAAATGTATAAAATGAATTGATATTGCTGGATTTGGTTGATTCGACGTCCATTTTATTTGATGTGTGCAATGCTTATGTGGAAACCTGTTTAATGGTTTCATTGGTACCGGAAGTGACATATTTAGGGTAACGTGGCACCGGTGAAACCCGTCATTACTGCATCGCAGTTCTAGTTCTCTATGTATCTGTGACTAGTCTGTGTCTACGGTTGTATGACTTGCCTTGTTTTTATTTTGCAAAATTTAGATATTTTTCATATACATTTAGCCAGGTGTGCCGCTATTTTTTCATGTGTTCCAGGGTGTGCCGTTGGCAAAACAAGGTTGAGAACCACAGCTGCCTTTGAAAGGTTGACAAGACGTGTGCAACAATTTCAATTTTTAAATTTCTGAACCATTTTAATCTATTTAATATCGGTGAAATCCGATGCCATCGAGAGTTGATTACGGCCTGGATCAGTTAATTAATGTCTAATTAATAATTTAGAAAACATTTCTGACCTAAATATAGACCTGCAATAGGCAGATTTAGCTCTTGCGTAATGTATGTTTAAAGGAGGCAACTCTTTAACTCAATATAATCCAATCTTCGACATTGCAAACAGGACTTACTGGTCAATTTAAATCAACATTGATGTTTTTATCTTACTGTGAAAAGATGGGCTTCCGATATCCAATATCAAAGACAAAATTAAATTTTTAAAAAGGGCACATGAATCACGTGCCAGAAAGCTTTCGAGTGCCATTTGTAATGAATCGATTGGATGAACAAGACTAAACATATCCCAGAGGAGATTACTAACGGTGTAGACTGGAATAATCGATGTCAAAGACTGCCATTCAATATAGACTGTTCACATATTTCGCCCAACACATTAGAAATTACAGTAAAAATAGAAACAACTGACTGTAAATCGAAATGAAATGAAATTGGGTTTAATGTCCTACTCCTATACTGGGCTAATGAAGACGGGCAAACGCCATACAGTGTGCTACGAGGGAAATTTTGCCCGGGCAAAGGCACTATCGCCTACTCTTATATCGAATTCCAACTGCCAAGGGATCTATTACGTGCATTCCAATGTATACATGGGACCTCGGTTTTTCGTGTCATCTGAAGGACTAGACAGCTGTCCTTGTCAGGCCCTTCGTCCTGCATCACTGACAAGGGGGAACCACGCCGGAAAATTTGGATGCACCTTCTCGGCCAATGCAGGGATCGAACACCCAACCTCCAGGCTAGCGAGCCAGCGTCTTACCCACTTAGCCACGTGATCCCCCTGACTGTAAATCAGTTTATATACATTCATATTGCAATATTATATGCGTTACGACCCATCTGTGTCCATTTCTAGGTGTCAAAGAATAGAGAATTAGCCCCTTTAAGGTAAGGCATGTTGTAAAATAGATTTTATTATAAACCAGGTATCTCCTAATATATGTTATACAAAGTTTAACAGAGTATAAATAGGGAAGTAGCAGAGATCTGTAATTGTAAAATAGTATTGAGTACACTATGTTGCATCATTTGCTTATATTTCAGAAAGTATGTGAACCTAGAAAATATACTGAGCGCCATGGAAAACGCATCACTTTTTTTCCCCAAATATTTTATTACTAGGTGGTTTTGTATGTATAATAATATGCAATACTATGAACTATTGTTTCACACAATGCTCCCAAACGCAAAAAATATCGGCCTGTGTGCAAAAAAAAAAATTGCACGAGATGCACATGAAAACCCCAATATTCACGTGAAGCATTGTGTGTGAGCCCTTTAAAAGCACGTTTTCAACTTAATGTGCAGTACATGAACTGTGAAACGTCAATCTGTCGTAATTTGTTGTTGGACGTGTGAAGGAATCGAGCTAGAGATGCCAAGACTTACTGAAAATCAACGGAATGAAGCCATGGGAATGTCCAGGACTGGCATTGTCTACACGTGCTATTGCTAGACACTTCAATTGTCATCAGTCCACTATTGTAAAGTTGGTGGAACGTGTTCGAGTTACTGGATCAATACGTGACCATCAACGTCCTGGTCCACAACGCGTTACAACCCAGGCTCAAGACCGCTACATCCGGGTCCCTCATCTGCGTGACAGATTCCGCCCAGCGACTTGAACAGGTGCAGCAAATGGCAAGACAAAGAACCACTAAAAGTGCCAACACCGTAAGACGTCGTCTAAGAGAAGTAGGACTCCGTGCACGACGAACTTATGTTGGAGCTATCCTCAGGGATCATCACCATCAGCGGCATTTGATATGGGCTCCAGGACACCAGACATAGAGAAGAGTGGACTGGCAAAGTGTGCTCTTCAGTGATGTGATTCGCTTTCATCTTTATCACGCTGATGGCCGTCAACGTGTGTGGAGACGTCTTGCAGACTGCTGCGTCTTCAAAACGAATTGATGGGGTGGGGAGGCTTCACATTTCATCACCGGACCGCCCTACACATTTACAGGGGTCGCGTTCATGCGGTAGCCTACCGTGATGATGGCCCGTGGAGGACACACACGCTACTGACATCTGTGTCAAACTTTTGGTTTTGACCCCTCTGACTTTGTACCCTTGATTACAGATTAAACATCCATGAGTGTACAAATGTGTTGTTATTGATGTGTTCCCATTTGAATATTGTTCACAATAAGAAGCAAAATAAAAAAGATATGTTTACAGGATCATTTTGTTATACGAAAAACTAAGTGATGCGTTTTCCATGGTGCTCAGTATATATTGGTCAAAATCATAACTTGATGTAAAGTATGCTTGTAGTCTATATCTCTTAAAAAATACCATTATTAGCCAAAACAGCCTTGATTTAAGCTCAAGCACACCCAAAACAGAGACTTGCCATCAATTTACACAAAGAGTTTTTTTTCACTTCATTTTATTTCAAAAACAAATAAGTGTATTCCATTGTTTTGAGCCGATGATAGAATGTAAGTTGTTATGCCACATGTAAATCTATGTTATTTATCGGGTATAATTAAATAGGTACAAGTGATCATGCTCAGATACATAAGGATTTTATTACAAATATTACACATATCTTATACAATTCTCATCATTATAATACATGTAAGTGAGAATCACAGTAAATTTGTTGGTATATTATAAGTATAACCAAGGTACATGTATGTGTATAAGATTTAAACATATAGACGCCATCATACAATGCTAATGCATAAAAGCAAGTTATCCATTGAAATTTCTGTGATTTTGCGTACATTTAGGCCAATTTGATATTAATTTGATCCAGTTATTAATGAAGTATAAATAAATCATATATACATGTATATAAAATATAAACAAGCAAGAAAAATTGAAAGGCATGTAAACCAAGATGTTTAAAGTTTGAATTGATTTTGATGAAATACATGTACATTTGTGACATGACTCATAGAAAAAAAAAAAAGAGACAATCATTTACTAACAGTAAAATGTAGAATGATTTTGGTGTCTTGCTCTAAGGTTCACATTTAAAAACTTTTTAAACATTATGAAGAATGGATGACTTAAAAGGGCTGTTTGGTATAAAAGTATAATAATAAAATTCATCAAAATTTTATCAATTTAATGTTTAAAAATTCATATGATGAGAAATTCACCATTTGTGGAAATTGTTACTATTGATTCAACAGGAATTTGCTCTTTGTAATCAAAGAGAATTTTTGATCAAAACATATCAGATTGGAGTATATACATCAAAGCACTATCATAAATATATAAACTTTATATATATTTTACAAGTTAAAATGTTTGAAAACTCCATTTGATAAATTTACTGAAAATTGTGTTTGATATTTTAACAAACATAATTCTTCAAATAGATAAATTATACTGGTTTCCACGTGGAAACAATAGTCTCTTTCAATCAGAAACCATCTTCACAACATAATGTTGATGATATAAATAAGAATGGTGAGTTGTGCAGGTCTTTTTCAAATAGTAAACTCAATATAGTAATGACAAAACCCAGGTTAATCTATCCTTCTGATTCTTTCAGATGATAATTTCACATTTCAAGAGAATCGGTCCAGTTTTAAGAAAATACTTAGCAAATAATGATACATTAATCCATGGCATATTCTTAAAAAGACATTTTAATAAAGAAAATATTCTTTTAACTTGAATGCCTGTAAAATAATAGTTGTTTTCAATGTGGCTCTAAAAAAGAAGATTACTGTTTAAAAGAAAAATAACCGAATCTGTTATTTTAAGCCTCAGTTTTAAATAATATGTTTGATTGAAGCCTGGTGGTAGATAACATTTTAAACACTGAACATGTAACATAACAATAAAAAAAAAAACTGAGATTAGACTAAAACCTGTTAAACTACCTTATAACATTTTGTCAGATTGGCAGCCAAGCAAGTTTTAAAGTCCCCCCACCTGTTAAGATTTTCCTACCCCAACTGTGTGGGAAGGATCACCTTTACTTGAGCAAATCAAAAATTTCAACCACTGCCAGATAATTATAAGTATTGTTATACATGTAACTGTTAAGAAATCATGGATTTCTATGGTAATCCCTCTACCCCACCCTTTAATCAACATATCCAATATTAATACCAACATTTTCACAATCTTTCATTTAATGCAATTGACAACCTGCATTTCAATGTTTTCACATTTATAATTTATTTGGTTTTCACCCTACTTATGATATACATGTTAATAATAGCCATCCCTTTAATTTTACATACACAACATAGTGAATTAAAGACAGGTTGATATACTACACAAACATGTACACTAATAGTTAATCGCCCTTTCTTATCAGCAAATTATCATGAATTCATATGATGGATAGAAAATGAGACAATTTTTTCAAATTGGAAATAAGAAAGAAATAGTTGGCAGTGCCTATTGGTAGATAATGATTATTATAAGCAGTTTCAAGAACATTCATAAAAGAAGTGATTATATGTATAAGAGTAGAAATTAAGACAAGTGACAATTGTAAATTATTATGTCAAATTACAGAATGATAACAATATGTCTTACTATAGTATACAATCTTGTTTATATCAACATAATCTCTCTTATATGTATATACCATTCAGATCTATAACTTTCTGTTTGATTCCACATTAACATTGGTTAAAAATTGTGTTTTTATAAGATTGTAAACTATTATAAAGGACATGAAATCAACAACCAACAGGTGTTATATTGCACATGTTAGGGTTTCAATCACATACACCTGATATATCATACAATACCACATTTATCTTACCACACATACACACTTTAAATAATCTACTTTATTATCAACCATAATGTTCAGGGCTGTTACAATATACAAATAAGTTATTGAACTAGATTCAAAGTTATTTCAATCAAGTTTCATGGATCAAGTGTTTCACACCATACAATATCTGATACCTGCTTTTACAGAGCTTATGTTCACATATTTATCGTTTCAGTAACACATAGAGCAGATGTTGAGCTAGTTTCTATACCCAGAAATTAAATAAATGAGTATTACAAATATTATTGCACAAAATATTGAAATACTTTACAACAAAAAATAACATCTTTTAATATAAATCTAGTTCATGATTGTTTTAGTTGACATTCAAATAACAGCCCTCAACATTCTAACCTGTTACTGTAGAGCCATTTTAGTTTATGTTAAAATATACTGATAAATTTATTTGTTCAATAATACATTAGAAGTAAAAACTCCAATCTGGTTAAAACACAGATCCTATTTCGTTTCGCTTTTATAGTTCAAAATTTCGTTTTACTTGTCTTTACTACACTTGGATCTGGAAGAGTTGTTATTTAACTCGTGTTCTGAATGGTGTCAGGGATAAGCCAATGAAACGGTCTGTTACGGCGTGTTTTGCACCGAACTGTGGGTAATCCACTAGTAACATCAATGCTGATTGGTTAATCAAATGTCTGACATCATAGGGTCATAAGTAAGTCTTTTGACCCCTGACGTGACCTATCGCTATAACTTGTCAGATCTTCATGTAGTGTAGGCCATCGAAAGTATAAAAAAACGAAACGAAATATAGATCAGGGCCCTTATTCACGAAAACTTAAATTAAGTTACAACCAAAATTTTAAGAAATACTGCAACTTCATTGGATATATGCAAATTGATTTTACTGGTCAGCCAATCGAATTGCAGTATTTTTTAAAATTTCGATTGTATCTTAGTTTAAGTTTTCGTGAATAAGGGCCCTGTATTTTAATCAGATTATAAAAACTCAGGTATAATAATAAAGCCTAAAAGCTCAAAATTCCATTACAGTGACAATAATAACATCAACAATGCATAAACAATGTGGGTACACATTTCAGAGTAGGAATCCTTCTTTTCATTCAATAGGACTAGACAATTAAAGTGTAATCTATAAATATTGATTGTGCTGACATGAGCAATATAACTAACACAATACAGTGTTCTCAATGTTATTTTTTACAGAGGATGGGGAGGGGGAGAGGGGTAGAACTGTCCAAGGTGTAGAATATATGTACATATTGAATTAAATATACTATTTATCACATTCATACCACCAGTAATTATATCCCATTAAAATATTAGCTGACTACAATAGACCCTATATGTAGAATCTTAGCTACATGTATCAAAAAGTATGCAGTTACTTTATGTGAAACAACAATTGTTTCATACAAAAACCTGCTATACAAAAATTTGTAGTACACAAAAAAAAAAGTAATTATTTTTACACCATCAATAATCATGCTGTGTTTCTTTATGCAAAATTCATTGTTCATGTTAAAGTTATAGACATGTACATGGCCACAATGAGAAAATAGATGGTCAAATAAGACCAGTCTTAGGCATAAAAAATGCCCACAATTCTCTACTATGTACATAGTTGCTTTGACTAATATAAACATTACAACAACTTATACCATGATAAATAAACAAAAAAATCACACAATTACCCACGGAGAAGTCCAATGGGTTCAAATCCCAAATACACAGTGTTCTATTTTCTGTTTACAGAAGTCACTAGGACACACAGGACTTTGCATCACCACCAAATTTCCATACTAAAAAAATCATGTAGAATTGCACCGTATTAAATACATGAAGATAATTATTTCCACACCTTGCTGCACAAAACCCGGTTTCAATGATGTTTTTTTCAACATAAATATTAGCAGACATTGGTAACTAACTTCCAGTGTTGATGTGTGACCAGTTTAGGTAATGCCATACGTAAAATATAAAGAGTTTGTTAAAAAGAGTTTTGTTGTTTTATGTTATCTTGTCACAATGCATCACATTCAGATGATGGAGACATCCATCAAGTGTAGCTGATAGTAGGTTCAAATAATGGCCATTTAAACTGTTGATCAATATGACATCATCAGGTAGGACAGATTGTGCACCTGTACACATATTGAGAAACGAGTCCAAACAATATATATATATATATATATATATATATATATATATATATATATATATAATCAGTCAACTTTAGCAATCATATTACATGAAATATTTTGTATGTAGATACACGCAATGAACAATGGAAAGTGAGGCTTGATAGATGTGTTTTTAACAGATTTGATGTGGTGCCCAGATTTTTCCATAACAATCAGATTTGGGAACCACAGTAATCAATGCATGAGTTCGGTACCAAGGACACTTTCACAAATAAATACATTAATTGCCGACATGGATGCTGCCCCAGGTATTACTCTTTTCACACCAGATTATATTCCTTTAAATTTAACTGTAAGATAGTATCCTTAACTGCTGCAAACACAAAACGGATGTTTTCTGTATCTGTAAAAACAAATATAACCATGTAGTCAAATCTATTTACATTAATATATTCTTTCACCTCAAATTCTAATAAAAAGTACATGTAGGTGAAACACCACTATGGTGGCCCATGGTCGCAATAGCGTTTTGGGGTTATTTTTTCTATTTCATTTAAAATAATAAAAAATATTAGTCAAAAACAAAAAAGACATTTTTTTTTGTTTTACAAAATAAAAAAATCTTTTTAAAATTTAAAATAAAAACAAATCTTTAATATTTAAAATAAATTTTTTTTTTAATATTTAAAATAAATATATAAAAAAAAGTAGGGGATATTCAGAAACAATACAAAACTGCAGAAATGCACTGCTGTTTTTATTAGAGGTAACCAGTGTATGTTAATAACAGGCCAATTGACTACACATGAACATAAACAGTTCATATGGGCGGCTTATCTGACGGCCCCATTTCACTCGCAAAGAGATACACTGTCAAAAGTGAAAATGGACGTCTTAGATTTTTGTCTTAATGAGTAATTCTCCGATATTCAGCAATTCGTCATGGCATGCTCCTAATCAACCGTCCAATCTTGCAGTGCCACGGCCAATTCTTGCAGTGTTGTCGGTTTACATTGACGTCGACGAACACGTCTCCTGATCTTGTCCCAGACTTGCTCTATTGAGTCTATAGTGGAAAGGTCAGGACTCGTGGCTGGCCTTGGCATATGGACAATATGATGACGCTGGAGGTAGTCATTCATGACACGTGCGCGGTGGGCATTATCATCTTGAAAGATGAAACGTCGACCTGCATGTTGAGCAAAGGGCAGAACTATTGGTGCCAGGATGTGGTCACGGTAGTACACACCAGCGACCCTTCCTTGAACAATATGCAAGTGCGTTCTGCCAGTCATGGTGATTCCTCCCCACACCATAACAGACCCCCGCCCGAATCTATCATGCTGTCTGACATTAACATGACGCTCACTTACATGCTTCCAAAAGAAAGCATGCCTATTGGTGAAATCCAAAGTAATTCTGGGCTCATCTGAGAACATTACACGCGCCCATCGACGATTACCCCAATTTCTACGCTGCCTACACCATTGACGCCTGTTTGCCATGTGCTGGCGAGTTAATGGAAGCACAACACGCGGTCGTCAACCATGCAAATGGGCTGCATGTAGCCAATTTCTAATCATTTGGGGTGTAACTCGAATTCCTGTAACTTGGTACAAGTTTACATAATAGAGCAGGAGCCCAGGGGGTTAACCTAGCTGAAAAGTGTACCAATTTTCTCCTATATGGTATCAATGTATGTATATCTGGTATCATCAGAATGTAAGTCTGCCGGGTTTCTGGTGGTGGGTGGGGTATTCCACACCCAAAATGCAATGCCCTCCAACTAGTCTAGATTAGCTCCTTTCAAATGTAGAACGTCTACGTGCTATAGGTAGGCTCTATGCTGGTCAGTCTGTGGTCACTGTTGCAAGAGCCTTTAATTGTTCACGCCAGACAATAATTAATCTTAGAATGAGAGTGCTTCAAACTGGAACTATTGCCGACCGCCACGTGTGACGTCACTCTAGGAAGATCAAGCAATACGATTACGTCATCTTAGAAACAGATTTGTCACTGCAACCTCCACAAGTAGAGAGATGTTTGGTGGAAGGGTAACTGCACAAACTGTTCGAAATCGCTTGCAGGCTGCTGGTCTTCGAGCTCGGAGGCCCTATAATGGACCAATATTGACACCTCTTCATCGCCGTAACCGACTTGTGTGGGCCACAAGACACATAAGATTTACTCAAAGACAGTGGAATTCGGTTGTCTTTAGTGACGAATCTCGATTCACTTTGAGATTTGCCGATGGCAGGGCCCAAGTGTACCGTAGACGAGGTGAACGTTACGCTCAAGTATGCGTCAGAGAAGTTGACCGATTTGGTGGCCTGGACTAACGTTTCAACAAGACAATGCTCGACCCCATACAGCCATTGCTACCCAGAATTTTTTAAGAAATGCCTGTGTCCAAGTCCTGGATTGGCCGTCGCTTAGCCCCGACCTCAATCCTATTGAACACATCTGGGATGAACTGGGTCGACGTGTTCGTCAGCAAGTGAATCCACCACTGACGTTGTAGGACCTTCAACATGCTCTTGCTGAGCAGTGGTGACGTCTCCCTCGGGTAGTGTTTACTAATGTTCTGAGATCCATGAGAAGACGTTTGGCAGTACGAGACGCGAGAGGAGGCCACAACCGTTACTGAACACTTTATTCCAATTGTACTCCAAGTCAGTGAATTTCATTTTTGGGGGTACTGTGACATCACGAACGTTATCACAAACGTTATCAATGTCAAGGACTTTCGGCGAGACGTATTCTTGCTTTCTGTTGATGTCAAGGTCGTCTGTGCACAACATAACACTAAAATAGTTGCCTTAAACCAAATATTAAAATTCTAGTCCCAAAAATCCCGAGTGTCAAGTTTTTAATTTGGCTGAGTATATATATAGATAGCTTGCCAGGCAACAAAACATACAGATGACATTGTAATTTTCGTCGCTTGAGGGTTCACAAGGTTCTAACGATAGGTTGCCAGGCAACAAAACATACGCCCACAGCAGTTGACAAGGGTTGTCACATATTTATTCTTTTGTAGGTAATTTCATACAGATGACATTATAATTTTCGTATTTAGAGGGTTCACAAGGTTCTAAAGACAGGTTGCCAGACAACAAAACATATGCCCACAGCAGCTATATCGTCCGGGCAGTCAACAGGAGTTGTCGCATATTTTTACTTTTTTCGGTAATGAAACATTTATAATACATAAAAATCTGATTAAGAGTAACAACTCATTAAGTAATTATCAGAAAAACTTTAGAATTTGTTGGTTGTTATAAAGTTCTGCCCTATACTAACGTTTAGTATACAAAACTTTTAACATCATGGATTTAGCTGTTCAAATCATAAGATTCATTGAAAATCAATATACTTGTTCGTCTCAAGACCTTAAACACTGTGTATAAATTTAAAGTCAATCGGATATCAACTTTAGCCTCTAGAGCGGCCACAAGATTTTTCAAAGTAATCATGGGCCATAAGTCTGGCAAAAATTATTGGAAATCACTGAAAATCAATAGGATTCTTCGTCTCATGACCTTAAACACTGTGTATGAATTTAAAGTCAATGGGAACTAGCCTCTAGAGCGTCCAAAAGATTTTTCAAAGTGATCAAGGGCCATAACTCGGGCAGTAATAATCCGAAATCGCTGAAAATCAATAGGCTTCTTCGTCTCATAACCTTAAACACTATGTATATTAACTTTGGCCTTTAGAGCGTCCACAAGATTTTTTGAAGTTATCAAGGGCCATAACTCTGGCAGTAATTATCGGAAATCGCTGAAAATCAATAGGCTTCTTTGTCTCATGACCTTAAACACTGTGTATAAATTTTAGGTCAATTGGATATTAACTTTGGCCTCTAGAGCGTCCACAAGCAATTGTGGATGGATGGATGGATGGACGGACGGGGGCAACAACAATATACGACCACAACTAAAACAAGGGAAGTAATCTACAGAAATTGTTGAAATCAGACAAGCTTTTTTGTTTTACTAATTCAAATAATCCATATAAATTTCATACAGATCGGATGATAACTTTTGTCGTTCGAACCTTCATAAAGTTCAGCAAAGTCAATCAAGGGCCATAACTCTAGACGTAATTGATGGAAATTGCTGACATTCAATAGGATTCTTCATTTCACTATGATGCATATGAATTTCATACAGATTAGGTGATAACTTTTGTCGTTCACAAGATTCAACAAAGTTAAACATGGACCATAACTCTAGATGTAATTAACGGAAATTTGCTGAAACTCAATAGGCTTGTTCGTTTTACTAATTTAAACGATACATATAAATTTCATACAGATCGGATAATAACTTTTGTCGTTAGAGCATTTAACGGAAATTAACGGAAATTGCTGAAATTCAATAGGCTTCTTCGTTTCACTAATTTAAATGATGCATATCAATTTCAAACAGATCGGATGATAACTGTTGTCATTAGAGCGTTCACAACATTCAACAAAGTGAAACAAGGGCCAAAACTCTAGATGTAATTAACGGAAATTGCTGAAATTCACTAGGCTTCTTTTTTTTACTAATTTAAATGTTGCATATAAATTTCATACAGATCAGTTGATAACTTTTGTCGTTAAAGCGTTCACAAGGTGCAACAAAGTGAAACAAGGGCCATAACTCCAGAAGAAATTAACGGAAGTTATTGAAATTATATAGGCTTCTTCATCTCATTAATGCAAACAACATATATCAATTTCAAAACAATCAATGATAGTAGTCTGTAGAGTGTTCACAAACCGACGGACAGGGACGACGGCAATATACATTATACAACCACATTTCCATGTGGGCGTATAAAAATGGTCTTGCCTATGTTATATCTGAAATAAAAAAATATCTATATGCTTTCTCTCTAGAGTTGGATATATGTTCATTTTCGAACAATTTTCCTCGGCACACAATGTCTATTTTTGGGGCGTTTTTGGGACATTAATAAAATAAGGAATGGAGGTATATGAGCGAAATTATGTGAAAATGTCAAAAAGTTTGTGAATTTTTACAATTGCATATTTTTAATCTGCTATATATTATTAAATTTGGTTACCATAGCAACAAAAACAGGATAAATATGCCATTCCGACCATTTTCAATTATATTTACCGTAACGGACTGACGACAATATACAAGGGTTGTCGCATATTTATTCCTTTTTAGGTAATTGGGGGTCTTTACAAGACAGTTCCATACAGATCAGATTATAATTTTTGCCATTTGAGGGTTCACCAGGTTCTACAAACTGAAACAAGGGTCTCAACTCTGGAAGTAATCTACAGAAATTGTTGAAATTTGACAGGCTTTTTCGTTTTACTAATTTAAACAAGCCAACAGTGAGGCTGATGTCCCCCGCCGAAATTGCAAAATAAATAGATGA